TAATGCGATTGAGTAAGCGGTGTAATGCCAGCGATAATCTTTTTCATTATATTTTTTATGGTGATCGTGGACAGTAAGGGTTAAACAAACCCCATAGCCGGCAAACACTGATTCAGAAGTCGGATTTATCTGAGTTATAAATGATGATTTTTGGACGTCTATTAACCCGACTTCTATTTTTCATAGATACGATATAATCGAAAAGAACTCATGTCATTAGTAGATGCGGGTTTATTACGGGAGAAATTTAAAGAACAAGTGGACTGGAAAAATACAGCTTCTAGTAACATATCCATATTAAGAGAAGCAATAAAAGTACGTATCATTACGATTAATGAAAATAAATCAATTATTATGGGCAGTTCGAGAAGAAATGCGACAAGTTAACACTGTATAGACCGTGTCTGCAAAGCAATACACATATCCCGCCTTCTCGTGACTCTATCACTCGAAGTCAGAAAAATAGATGCAGAATGTATTACAAACAATAGATAACGGCACATATCTTTTTCCAAACATGAGAGGAAAAAGGAATAAAACCACCTAAAGTATTCCTGAGGGCTAGTACTTTTATTTATTGCTATTTCGTGATGATTAATAGCTATTTTTTACTCTGAATTTTACATGAATCTATTCTGTATATCACAAAAATCCCCTAGTATTGAGTTAGTTAATCATTCCGAGACATCCGTTATCCCACCCGATTATCTTTTACTAGTCGAGAATAAAATAATTAAAGTGAATCATGTTAATGAAACGAAGCTCCGGGCCTGTGATATAAATAAACGGTTATGGATTACTTTTAGTCGCTGGTTAGGGATGAAAGAGCCGATTGTAAGGAGGGATGTGCGCCGTCATCTTCGTTCAAATGGATAAATTCTAAAGATTTTGGTATCGCTATTAAGCACTAAACCTTAGTGCGCACGTGATTGACCGATTCGATTCAACTGGTGACGTGATGACGTGATTGTTGTGTGATATTATGTCATCAAACATGAATAACAGTAATACAATCTACTTTTCCCACAATATATATGATAAACAAGTTAAGTTTCAAACTAGTTTCGCCTTTCACCTTTCCATTTTGCACTGAATATTTTTACTTTCAAGTTGGTTAGATAATTTGCAAGAACAATGGATGAGACAGCTAAAAATGGAATTCATCGAACCTTTCAGGTATTTTTTACAGAAAAGGAGGAAGGTTAAAGCGGTTAATAAAAAATTTTTTTGTAGGCTTCAAGGAACCATTATTCCGTTCGGTCCCGAGGGCAAGATGGTGACCCCACCTCGTTTTCGACCGATATTAATGATTACGGTTTGGGACGTCATATGTCTTCTATGGACATACCACATAAGTCGGCCTCCCCGGAGAACGACGCTCCAAGGCCAGACTGCATATCTGATGAAGATGTTGGAGCTTCTTGTCAACCAAATTTCAAGGATGGAGATGAATATGTTGGCCCGCCCATCCACAGTAAACCTCACATTTTCAACCCGGAAAGGGAAGATTGCAAGATACATGTTCGGGGCATCGATTCGTTGTGGGACAGCAAAAACGAAACAAATGAGAGAGCTAATATACGAAAAAAACAAACTGGCATCAGAGATGAGAGTGAAAATGATGCCAACATTGTTTTCAAGTGTCCCAACCAACGAAGAATTCGAGAACTGCAGTCAACCTTGGGGCAACTGCTCCGAATCGGTACCCTGGAGGGCTCTGCATGGACAGAGAAAACCCCGAAGACGCCGTGTTGTCTTGTATTCCCAGACGATCAATCTGAAAAAAAATATGAAAACTCATCCCTGTATTATGTGTCAGCTGGTAATGAACTCAATGAATCATCGTGCAATAATCCGCTTATTGTAGTGGAAAAGATCATGAGCGAATCCGATTCTTTTCGTGTTGCAACTTCTCTTCACCTTAAGCTCCAAAGCGAAAGTCCTCAAGATGATGTTATTCGTTATGTGAAAGAAGATCTTACATGTTATATAAAGGAAATTAAACGGTATGGTTTCGATCATATCATTATCATTGGGGAGCGTTATTGCGGAATGCTTTTTCTGGACTGCTACGGTCGTGTATTTGATTTGGATTCTATGATGAATGTATTATGGTTTCTTGGAAATTATTTCGAAATAATGTCAAAGGAATCCGAGACTGGCCGGGTGGCATGGGATGTATTGGATGATGGAACTATATTTGAGATCGATAAATGTATGTGTATGTATTTTTACTCATATCTTACCTTAATTTTGTATAACTATTTTCTTTTCTTTCAGATTTACCAGAAAAACACAACACTCACCCAATTGTGAAGAACAAGAAAAAAGATAAAAATAAAAAAAAGCATCATTGATTTGATTGCATTTATTGCACTACATTAGTAGAAAATGTGATCTTACAATCTCGGTGAATAATTAGTATACACATTACAAATTGATAATTATGTTCTGCGTTACTTTGCTCATAATAATTTACCCTATAGTAATGTATTTTGAATCTAATCTATCAAGCTAATAAAATTTCGGGTTTCTATTTTTTAACTTTGCTATGCTTATATGCGGTGTGATGTGAGTTGTGCATCGGAAAATAAAATAGAGACCATGTGTATGCATGTAATTGGCGTTACAAAAAAATAATGCACGAATTTTTTTATTGCTTAAACCTACGAAAATAATGTATAATGGAGCATTTAAAGTTTTAAGTTTACTCAATAAGACCCAATTCTCGAAGATGCTCTGGAATAACTATATATGGGTCTTCATAGTACCAAACATATCTTAAAACGATCCAGTTTTCTTCGCATAATTCCACCTTGAGTTGATCCCGTTCTTGCTGTTTGATAAAATTATTGGGATTTTTTTTATGAAAGAATTCGTGATATTTTGCATGTTGTTCTCCTTGTACTTCAATTGCGAAACCATAATTATAGTAGGGAATATCAAGTTCTAATCCGTTTGGATACTCTGGTGTTCTTAAGAAATCGGGCCAACGATTTTCTGAAGGAGGTCCAAGATATTTTGTTACAATTCTACGGCATAAATTTTCACGTTTATAAAAACGGCAAAATGGACACCAAGAGTTACTATTTTTAATGTTTTTAAGTGTTGAATACCATTCATGACCTTTAGCACATTTCCATAATAAAGGTGAACGAATATTAACAAATACCTCAGAAAGACATTCCCCATTTCTGCTATGAGCTATATGCTTAGCTTCTTCAAGAGTAAGACGTCTTGTACCCACACAATATGGGCACCAACTATTACAATGTTTTATACTTGTAAGACTAACACTCCATTTATGCCCCTTAGCACATTTCCACAATAAAGGCGAACGAATATTAATGAATATCTCAGAAAGACACTCACCATTCCTACTATGTGCAATTTGTTTAGCTTCTTCAAGAGTAAGAGGTCTAGTATGTGCGCAATCTGGACACCAAGTATTACAATATTTTACGTTTCTAAGTGCTGAATACCATTCATGTCCTTCAGCGCATCTCCACCGTAGTGGTAATATACTATTAATATATTTTTCTGAAAGGCATTCTCCATTTTTATTATTCGCAACTCGTTTAGCATCATCAATAGTGTAAGATTTACTTTTTGAGCAATGCGGACACCATTTTTTAGCATTTTTAATTCTATGAAAGGGGGCCATCCATTCATGACCTTTAGCGCATTTCCACAATAAAGATGTATTGCAGTTAATATAGCTGTCTGAAAGACATAAGCCATTTCGTTCCGTAGCAATTTTACAAGCATCTTTTATAGAATATTTGGTTTTCATTTTATACTTAATCAGAAATATTTAAAACAGTATCCCAACCAAGACGTACACTTAAAGGATCGTCTACAGCCTTAGTAAAATCAAAAACCACGAATTCTCGATTTCGCAAATGCTTATCAATAATCTTGGATGCCTTTTTTGGATCATCTGTATATTGTCGTACGATTCTACTAATATCGTCTCTACTACCCGAGCCCCGAAATAGGCATAAATGTGAGATATTTTCACGAATAATTTTAGGTGTTTGTGTATATTTCTGGCTCACATATATAGGTGAGACATTTTGATGCCGGCCACTAATGAAATAAGGAATAATTCGTTCTTGCACTTTTTTGGGTTCAGCACATAGATCCTCAAAAACAATAACTGTACTTCGTTCCGGAGAGAATTTAGTTATATCTGGGATCTTATCTGGTAATATCCATTTAAATGTAACATCTTCTCGATATGGTTTTGGAGCATTTGCAAAGATCTTATAGCTATTTTGTACAAGTTGCCATTTTGGTTCAAAATGTTTGGCTACTAATCTGAGATCATCATTTCTAATATACCGATCACCTTTTTTTCCATTGAACATGCATTGTAGTTTGTCACCAAGCATGAGATTTATTTCCATGTTAGTTTTTCCACTATTTGAGCTTCCATTTATAAGCATCCTAAATGGGCAGTCTGGCGAATACTTATTACCCTTCATTCGCTCTGATGATTTTTAGATGTCTCATTGATATTATATACATATATGGGCATGCCTTTATCTTTCATTCTAGCCAAGATAAGTAATATTTATTCTTTATACGATAAATAACCTCTCTCTTGTAATTTGCTTTTTATATAGGGAAGTAAATCACAATTAGTGTTGGTCGCCAAAACTATTTTGAAGAGACGAAAGTCAAAACTAAAATTAAAAGTTATATGTCAAAACTAAATCAAAAGTCAATAGTCAAAAATCAAAACTAGTTTCGACTTATGGCGAAACCTTTTGACTTTTGCACAGTTGCGAAACTCTCTAGTTTTGGAAACCAACACTAATCACAATCGAACGGGATACAAATAAGATCTATACCTTCTCGAGCACATATATCCCGCTTTTTTTGATCGCGTTTCCTCTGTGATTCTAGATCATCTTGATTTTTGTGGTATAAACTATTGCAATGATAGTGTTGGATACCCTGGAATTCGAATGCTAATTTTAGTTCTTCGTTATATCCATCTAATTGCATCCCATTCAAAAATGACGGTTTACAAGATGGAAATTTCTTACCTAACAGATCCTCAAAAATATATCTACAACAACGCTCATCAGTATGGTGGAAACAAACTGGACACCATTCGAATTTATTCTTCTGGATTTTATAAGGTGCTTCCCATTGATGGAGTCCATTTTCACATGACCAAAGATATACATCGAAACCATTTATTTGGCCAGTTTTACCAAGACATTCTCCGCCACGCCTCTCAGCATATGCAACGGCTTTAGACATTTTATTAATAATACGAACGAAATTAATAGATCTGGAACGAGTGTTTTCTTCCAATATACTCTGGGGTGGATACTGAAGCGTATCAATATTCACATATTGTTAGTTTTTCCACTATTTGAGCTTCCATTTATAAGCATCCTAAATGGGCAGTCTGGCGAATACTTATTACCCTTCATTCGCTCTGATGATTTTTAGATGTCTCATTGATATTATATACATATATGGGCATGCCTTTATCTTTCATTCTAGCCAAGATAAGTAATATTTATTCTTTATACGATAAATAACCTCTCTCTTGTAATTTGCTTTTTATATAGGGAAGTAAATCACAATCGAACGGGATACAAATAAGATCTATACCTTCTCGAGCACATATATCCCGCTTTTTTTGATCGCGCTTTCTTTGATTATCTAGATCATTTTGATTTTTGTGGTATAAACTATTGCGATGGTAATGTTGGACCCCGTCATATTCACATGCCAATTTTAATTCTTCATTATATCCATCTAATTGCATCCCATTCAAAAATGACGGTTTACAAGATGGAAATTTCTTATCCAATAGATCTTCAAAAATATATCTTGCAGAACGCTCCCCTTTAAAATGTGGACAAACTGGGCACCATTCGAATTTCTGCTTCTGAATTTTATAAGGTGCATACCATTGATGGAGTCCCTTTTCGCAAGACCAAAGATATACATCGAAACCATTTATTTGGCCAGTTTTACCATGACATTCTCCGCCACGCCTCTCAGCATATGCAACGGCTTTAGACATTTTATTAATAATACGAACGAAATTAATAGATCTGGAACGAGTGTTTTCTTCCAATATACTCTGGGGTGGATACTGAAGCGTATCG